TATATATATATACACATACATATACATACATATATATATACATATACATATATATACATACACATACACACACACATACATACATACATATAAAACAGAGGAGAAAAGCTAGAATCAAAAGATATTAATGCCAATACGAGTCAAGGGATATTGAAAGCCACGGAAAAAAGGTACGTTTTCAAGGCGGATTTAAAAGTTGACAAGGTTTGGGTGGATCTGATGTAGGCTGGAAGTCTATTCCATAACTTAGGACCGATGACCGCAAATGCGCGACCCCTATTTTTAAGTCTGGTTCTAGGAACATATAGTAAATCAGAGTCCCTAGATCTAAGTGATCTAGACTGAGAAGGAGGATGCAGTAGTTCAGATAGGTACTGTGGTGCCTGGTTCCGCAAAGACTTAAAAACAAATAACAAAACTTTGAAATCAATTCTGTATTTGACCGGTAGCCAATGAAGTGAAATCAGAACCGGTGTGATATGATCACTTTTACGCTTCCCTTTGAGGAGCCGGGCTGCGGCATTTTGAACTAACTGTAGGCGTGTCACACATGTCTGAGAGGCACCAATGTACAAAGAGTTACAATAGTCTAGTCGAGATGTTAAAAATGCATGCATGACAGTTTCGAAATTCTTACCAGACAAATAGGGCTTAACCTTTGCTAAAAGACGAAGATGATAGAAACAAGACCTAACCACAGCACATATCTGCTTATCAAATTTAAGACTGTTATCAAGCAAAACCCCCAGATTCCGAACACAGGTGTTACTGTAAGGTAACAGAGTATCGAGATCAACATCATGAATGCTGTGATCATTTGAACCAAACAAGATAATTTCAGTCTTACTCTCATTAAGACTTAAGAAATTACTAGCAAGCCAGAGTTTCAGTTCGTCTAAGCAGTCTAATATAGGCTTAAAGGCATGCTTATCGTCACGCTTTAAAGGCAGATAAATTTGTGTGTCGTCAGCATACAGATGAAAAGATACACCATATCTAGATAAAATAGAACTCAAAGGTAGCATGTAGAGATTAAACAGTACCGGGCCAAGAATAGAGCCCTGAGGGACCCCAGAACTTAAATGTTTATCAGAGGAAGAATGGTGCCCGAGGCAGACAGAGTAACTCCTATTGGTTAAATATGAGCGAAACCATTGGAGCACCGTACCCCGAAAGCCCACACATGCTTCTAGACGTGATAAGAGGATATTGTGATCGACCAGGTCAAATGCAGAGCTAAGGTCTAACAAGACCAAAGCCACAGACTGCCCGGTATCAGTGGTGAGCATTACATCATTCATGACTCTTAAGAGGGCCGATTCGGTGCTGTGACGGGCTTTACAACCAGACTGAAATTTCTTGTGTATATTGTTATCATTCAAAAAAGGCAAAAGTTGGCTCAGGACCACTTTTTCTAACATTTTTGAGAGGAAAGGTAAATTTGAGATTGGGCGAAAATTACTCAAGAGCGTAGGATTCAAATTTGTTTTTTTAAGATGAGGCAAAACAGAGGCATGTTTAAGGCAGTCAGGTACGGTCCCAGTAAAAAGACATTTGTTGATGACAGACAACAAATCAGGGCCAATAGCTTGAAAAACTTGCTTAAGAAAATGTGTAGGAATCACATCCTGAGGGCAGCTAGTGGGTTTTAAACAAGCAACAATCTCATTAAGAAAGTCCAAGGTGATAGGCTCAAAGACAGACCATGTAGAACAGCAGAGAGGAACATCAAGTGGTGTATAAGCTGACAAAGGCAATAGAGATTTAATCTGTGAGATCTTATCATTAAAATATCTCGCAAAATCCTCACAATGAGAATCAGATGTCTCAGGAAAATGATTAATAGTGGGATTGAGAGCAGAATCAATTATTGAAAATAGGGCTTTAGGCCTAGTAGTGTTACATAAAATTAACTCTGAGAGATATTTACGCTTAGCAGCATTAGCAGCTCGCTGAAATGCAGAGAGGGAGTCCTTTAAGATTTCATAGGAAACTTGTAATCTATCCTTATTCCACTTACGTTCAGCCCTTCTACAGGTCTGTCTGAGTGAACGAGTAGTGTCATTTAACCAAGGCTTAGAGTTGTGCTTATGTTTTTTCAACTTAAAAGGAGCAACAACATCTAAAATATTAGAACAGGTGGAATTAAAAAAGTTTAAGTGTTCGTCAGCATCTAGATAACTTAAACATGAGTCCATGTCATAATTGGCACGTAGTTCAGAATATGAAGCTGTAAAATCATCACTAGAGCAATCGGAAAAGACACGAGTCAGCCGTGAACGGGGTTGTTGCTTATGTGTAGTTCCAGTCAAAGGTAAAGAGAACAAAATTGGCAAATGATCCGACATGCCTGTGTCTAAGATGTTAATGTCCAATACAGGTAAACCACGTGATAGAATTAAGTCCAAAGTATGACCCTGAATATGAGTGGGGCTAGACACCCACTGATCAAAATCAATAAGTCAATGAGACTTCGAAACACTTTAGAGAGTGGCTTAGAGTCACAGCATATGTGGATATTAAAATCTCCCAAGATTAAGATTCTGTCATGACTGGTAACAATATCCCCCAGAAACTCGGCAAACTCGTTGAGAAAATCCTTGTTTGGCTGGGGCGGGCGATAAACCAAGGCAAACACCACAGAGTAATTTATTGTGGGCTGAAGCAACAGCACTTCAAAGGTGCAATGAGGGCTAGTTGTTAAACAGCGGCAAAGATAAGAGTTTTTAAACACTGCTGCTATTCTCTCTTCTATCATAATTAAACAGGGCTTTCATGTTGCGCGTCCTGAAGCTCCTCTGCGTGGGTGCGATCTCGCTTCTGAATTGCGAATAGAAAAAATGCATCATAGACAAATGTTTGAAAAACAGCTGGCGGCTCTGGTGAGATAGAATTTGCAAGATAATGTATATATAGCAATAATAAATGTATGTGTGTTTTATTAATTTCTCCAGTACCGATAGCAGAACCGTTAACGTCAGAGCTTATCGATACTCCGGTCTTTCATAATTTAGCCCCGGTACCGATTAAATACCGAGTTTCGGTACCCATCCCTACCGATAATGCTAAATAATGCCGCAATTATTTTTGTATATATTTTAATATGTGTTGTTCACATAACTGTATTTAACATACAATTGAATTCACTACTATTCATAAGGCAGTATATAGGTTACTGTAACTTAATACATTAAAGCTAAATATACATATTTTATGCAACAAAAACGAATAATACGACAAAGCACAAAGTTTTAAAAAATTAACTAGTTAAAACAAAAACTGAAAATATAATACTAAAAGACAATTCAAAATATTAATAACTATTATATAATAAATAATACTAAATATAATACTACAATATCACTGATAAATGCAATATAAATTAATACATTACATATAAATAGTACTGAAAAGCAATATAATATAATAATAATTTACGTAATTATTATTTTTTTATTTATTCTAACGTGTTATACATATACCTGTATTTAATATACAACTCAATCCATTAGAGTTCATAAGGCAGTACAGTGAGTGATTACTGATGCTCACTAATTCCCATCACCGCTAAACTAAACTAGCGGTTCAGCACTCGTTATCATATACAGCATGAGAGCTAATATCTATACTATAATATTGTTCATTACAATTTAGCAACTTTTATTATTGTACTATGAACATATTCGGAAATGATGACTTTATATGTAAAGCGCCCTGACAGTTAGTTTTTAGCGCTTATGATGTTCTGATACACTGCGGCTAGCTAGTTACATTAGTTAAACTCTGTTTACTCTATTTTTCATTCATATAAATGGTCCTTATCTTTATATGTTCTTGCTACTGAATGTTCATTGTAAATTTCATTGAAACCTGCATTGTTTTTCTCGTGTTTTAAGGCATGCGATAAAGCGAGCTAATCGGTTAGCAATCTGAGCCCGATTAACGAGGCCCGGGACATTTTGGATTTCAATGTCGATAAAACGACCCGGTAGCGCAAGTAACGGAATCGATTCGTGTGTAATTCTTAGATTCATTTCTACATTCCGGTGTTTCTCCTCTTTATTCCCTTAAAATGTGTGCGTTTAGCTGCTATTACCTGAGTGAGGGTCGCGAGGGCTGCCATTTTTCCCTGTTGCTGCGGAAACGGCGGGTGAAGGAATGAGGGGGGGCTGAAACAGATCGGAATGTTCATCCATTCACACAGACGCTAATAATAAATGGGGGGGGGGCTGAGGGAGCGGAATGTGCATCTATTCACACAGACACGACATAATAATAATACTAACAATAACTGATTATTAATAATAATAATAATTATTATTATTATTAATAATTATAATAATAATGATGATGATGATGATGATGATATATTATTTAATAATACAATATATTCGTCTTATTATTGTTGTTGTTGTTGTTGCTGTTGTTATTGTTAATAATAATAATTAATCATTACAATAATTATCATTAATAATACTAATACTAATACTAATAATAATCAGTGTTGGGGGTAACGCATTACAAGTAACGCGAGTTACGTAATCAGATTACTTTTTGCAAGCCCTGTCCAGATTTAAAAAGTAACGCAAAAGTAACATAACGCATTACTTCCCATAAAAAGTAACTAAGTAACGTAATTAGTTACTTTTTTTATGGAGTAACGCAGTATTGTAATGCATTACTTTTAGAAGTAACTTTCCCCAACACTGATAATAATAATAATAATAATAATAATAATTGTTGTTGTTGTTATAATTATCTGACTCTGCTGCAGCCTAGATTTAAACTGCTGGATTTGTCTGACCAGAGGAGAAAGACACACTACTTCGATGCATTATTTCCCCGTTAATACTGTAAAGCTGCTTTGACACAATTTGCATTGTAAAAAGCGCTATATAAATAATGGTGACTCGACTTGACTTTACTATTATTATTATCATCATCATCATCATCTTACATATAATAAATAATATATAAAAGCATATCCTAAGTTATGAAAAAACAATAAAGAAAGAAAATGTTTTCTTGGAAACTAACTAAAATAAAATAAGTTTAAGCTGGAGTACTAAAATTACATTTGAAATAAAAAATACATTAACGTTAAATATACATATTTATAAAACAAAATCACATAACAAAATAATTTGAACTAACTGGAATTAAATTGAAAACTAAAAATATAACAGTTAATATATAATTAGATACTACTATACTGAAATAATATTGATAATGTAATATAATGATGTACATAATAATTTTTTTAAATTTATTTTAATGTGTTGTGCACTATTTAATATACAATATATTCCATGACAATTTATAAGGCCGTATGTAATAGTATTAATAATAATAACTCACAAACAACAAATAATATATAAAAGCAAATTATAACTTAATTATAATTAACTAATCAATAATATTGCAGGTAATTTAGAGTTTCACAGCACTCCTCATTTTTAAGTGGATTTAAAGATTGAAATAATGTTTTAAATAGAACAAAATTTGTAGAAACTTTAAAAAAAAAAAACGTACATTTGTTTAAAAAAACGTATCAAATAATTATGAGTGCGTAGTAACCTGGGAAGCTTTTAACACCTGTCACTAGACTAATCATTTACATTTTGGCCTATAGTTACAAAAAAAATCTAGAATTAAACTGAATACATTGATCTTCCCTTTCCAACGAAACTAGAACAGTTCCGAACAGTAAGTATCAGCAAACTCTTCAAAATATCAGCAAATTACTTCATTTTTCATGCAACAAATTTGCAATTTTGTGTGCAGAGTATTTTATTATATATTTTAATATTATCTGTTCATGTTAATCCATGAAATCAGAATAACATGTTATTAAAGGTATTCAAAGCTGTTCACAAACATACTATTGACATTCTACTGTTTGCAATGAGAAACAGTCTCAAAAAACTGAATCCCAAGCTATATTCTCAGGGGTGCACATAAGTGGTACGCAGGTGCGCATGCGCGACCAAAATAAAAAATGCGCTGTGTAAATAAGTTCTGACAGCGCATTTGCGTACCGACATGGTTGACAGCTGTTAATGCGCCCATTTTAGATCGACAAACTGTAATACTGTATAAGATTTCTATTCAAACTGAATAGATAAATAAATCTAGGCTACCCGCTGCTGTTTTCAAAGCACAATGCAAAACTGTGACATTTCATTCACTGATGCTCTTCAGTCGGCACTCAGCGCTAAATCCGGAAGCGCATATACTTACTTGCCGGCAACCTGCCAAAATAAAAGCCTGCTGATTTTACGTTTGAAAACGTTTGAAAATGATGAAAATTAATCTTTAAAAAAAGAAGTAAATATTAGCATTTTATTTTTAAGTTTACTATAAAATAGTTTTATTTTTATTTAATAATCCCTTTTTATTTTAAAATATAATAGTAGTATCACACTTTATTATTTAGTTTATTATTTTATTACAAAAAAAAAAAACTAAATGAATAAAGTGCAACAATATTATCACTACGATTAATTTATTTTTTTTATAGTTGTATTTAATGGGTTAAACTATGTGCAGTGTGAGGACCAAACCAAATCTCCAGGCTGAAAAACGTATGTGCATCTATTCTAGCCATTCAAAAACACTCCGCGAGCCAGCGGGTCCGGTTCCTCGCTTCTGATTGGTCGAGCGTCCCACGCAAGTGGCTTCCTATTGGCTGAGCCGCTACAGCGCCACAATTTATTTTTGAGTTGTTGCGTTTGCTGAATGGTGAATGCGTTCGTCGACTGAAAGAAAGGAAACAGAAGAGAAGATACTGTTATAACCAGAATTATTCATTGCATATAATAGGAAAAAGTGAGTCAGATTGCTGCAGTTACTGTGGAATAACAGAAACAGTTGAACATGTGAGGCATATAATAGACAAAGAAAGCAGCTTGTTGAAAAAACTAAGAGATATGGAAATCAATGACATTTCAGTTAAGAATATATTTCAGGATGCACAGAAACAGTTAAGGGTTTATGATTTTCTTCTAAAATATTTGAGAGATACAGATTTGATTAGAAGAATTTATCGAGGCCTCACACTCCATCCCAATAGGTGGCATAAATGCACCTTAAGCTGGTTTGCCAACCGCCATTAAACACACAAGAAGAAGAAGAAGAAGAAGAATGCGCTCGTCTTGGATTTCACTGTTTATTGACAACAACTTGTATTTCTCCGTTTTCTGGCACGCTAAACGAGTTCAATTATTAACTCACGGGTCGTTACACGCGGCTTGGCGCGGTTAATGCCGCTCGAAGGGCTGGAAGGACGGTTTTAACACACATCTGTGGTCCGTATTCACGCTCACGCCCAGCTGGACCTACAGTGTTTCGATTAAAAACACGACGAAGGCATGAGTGAAGCGTTCAAACAGCCTAAAGGTACGATATTATATGTCCTACATCAGTTATAAGAAGCTCTGAACTGTATGTTAAAGGTTTTTAAGTGTTTTAGTAGTATTGCCATGTTAGCATGTTAGTTGCCAAACTTTCCAAAACATCATGTCTGAGATGTTTTGAAAATGCATTATTCGGTGCCAGAGCAGATTAATTTCAGCTTTAGTTTATTAAAAAAAATGTTATTTCCACAGGATGAATCGTGTACAAGTGGATTTTAAAGGGATGCCAGCCCACATCTTGGAGAACAGTGTTCCAGCAGAAACCCTTCAAAACCTCAGGTAACTACTGTACATGATTTTAAAACCGTACTGTACGTCTATTTTAAAACTTTCTTGTTGTTGCTGTTCAATGAAAGTAATATTTTTTCACGTGTTTAAGGTCATCGGACAATGTCCTTACTCCACTGACATTCCCAAAATCTAAAGTCTCTCTGTGGGATCCAACTCCCAGTGGTGATGTTGTCAGTCTGCATTTCTCATATTACAGGTAAATCTTTTTGTCATTTAGGCCTATATTTTTGCTTTTTGGATGAACCATATTTTTCATAAAATTGAATGTCACTATCAACGGAGGAACAAAAAATGTTTAAAGTCTGGCAACCCACCTGATTATAGTATTAATTTACCATTAATAATTTTTATATTTTCAGTTTTCATTTTAGTTTTAGTAATTATGTGCATATGTCATGTTTATTTTTAATGTTTATATTTCTATTTAGCTTGAATTCGGCCTATTTATTTTTTGAGTTGTAGCTTTAGTAACTTAAACGTGTGTTATATTTGTTTTTTTATTTTTTTTATTCTTATTAGCTGTAATTTAATTTTACCTTATCAGTTTTAGTCTTTGAAGTCGTTTTAGTACTTCAACTTGGAATTTTATTTCATTTAGTTGTGGAGGCAACATTTAAACATTTTTTCCCCTTTTTTTGGTAAGTTTACATTTTTCATGTAATGTTTTATTTTACTTTAGTTATTTAAAAAATAAATTCGTAATGACATCTGATCTGACAATTAAAAAAAAAAAAAAAAAACCTTTCATTTTATGGCTGAATGTCCTCAGTAACATTTGGTGTATTTCAGGAATCCGAGACTGTTACTTGTAGAAAAAGCATTACGTTTAGCTCACCGGCATGCTAGACGGACCAACAAGCCTGGCTTTTTCTGTTTCCTGCTCGGGACACTGGCAGTAGACGGTGGTTAGTATTGAGAAGGCCTGTATTTGGATATCCTATAATGATTGTTTAGTATTTAAACATGTTGCATCTGCATTTTACTAACTAATATTTTCTTTTCCTAGACGAGGAAGGTGTGATAATAACCCTGGATCGTTTTGTTCCGGGCAGAGAGCAGACGGGATTACCTGGGAAAACACCAACTGCCCTACTCCCCGGAGACATCCTTGTGCCATGTGTATTTGAAGCCCAGCATGCTACTGGCAGCACAGTGCACTCGAGGGAGGATTTGAACATCTCGTTTAAGGTAGTTGATCTGAGAATTGCTGACAGCACATGTTTAACACATAACAGCTGGGGCTTTTTCCTCCTGTTTCTGTGGCAACGTAGTAAAGCATAATGGTAATCAACGTCACTCTGTAACCTGTCAGTAACAGCTGCCCTGATTGTGACGCAGTGTTCCTTAGAGACAGGTGATTATTAGTGTGTTGCGCTGCTCCCATCTGCATGGTTTTCTTGGTTTCTTAATTTGCTTTGAGCAGTTCTTAATTTACCCATGGATG